CTTCTGCCGCAGCCTGTGAAGGGGCCTCTGCCGCAGTTTGTGAAGGGATCTCTGCTGAAGCCTCTGAAGGGGCCTATGCTGCAGCCTGTGAAGGGGACTTTGCAGCAGCCCATGAATGGGCGTCTGCCACAGCCTGTGAAGGGGCCTCTGCCGCAGTCTGTGAAGGGGCCTATGCTGCAGCCTGTGAAGGGGCCTCTGCTACAACCTGTTAAGGGGCCTTTGTCGCAGCCTCTGAATGGGCCTATGTTACAGCCTGTGAAGGGACCTCTGCTGCACTCTGTGAAGGGGTCTCTGCCGCAGTCTGTGAAGGGGCCTCTGTTACAGCTTCTGAAGGGTCCTCTGCGGCAGCTTCTGAAGGGGCCTCTTCTGCAGCCTGTGAAGGGGCCTCTGCTGCCATTTGTGAAGGGACCTCTGCCGCAGCCTCTGAATGGGCCTATGCTACAGCGTATGAAGGGACCTCTGCCCTAGTCTTTGAAGGGGCCTCTGCCGCAGTCTGTGAATGGGCCTCTGCTGCAGCCTCTGAATGGGCCTATGCTGCAGCCTGTGAAGGGGCCTCTGTTGCAGCCTCTCAAGAGGCCTCTGTTGCAGCTTCTGAAGGCGCCTCAGCCGCAGCTTCTGAAGGGGCCTCTGCCGCAGCCTGTGAAGGGGCCTCTGCTGCAGTCTGTTAATGGGCCTCTGCCACAGTTTGTGAAGGGACCTCTGCGGTAGCCTCTGAATGGGCCTATGCTGCAGCCTTTGAAGGGACCTCTGCCGCAGTCTGTGAAGGGACCTCTGCCGCAGTCTGTGAAGGGGCCTCTGCCGTAGCCTCTGAAGGGGCCTCTGCTGCAGCCTGTGAAGGGGCCTCTGCCGCAGCCTGTTAATGGGCCTCTGCCGCAGCCTCTGAATGGGCCTATGCTGCAGCCTGTGAAGGGGCCTCTGTTGCAGCTTCTGAAGGGGCCTCAGCCACAGCCTCTGAAGGGGCCTCAGCCGCAGCCTCTGAAGGGGCCTCAGCCGCAGCTTCTGAAGGGACCTCTGCCGCAGCCTCTGAAGGGGCCTCTGCTGCAGCCTGTGAAGGGGCCTCTGCCACAGTCTGTGAAGGGGCCTCTGCCACAGTCTGTGAAGGGGCCTCTGCCACAGTCTGTGAAGGAGCCTCTGAAGGGGCTTCTGCCTCAGCCTGTGAAGGGGCCTCTGCCGCAGTCTGTGAAGGGGCCTCTGAAGGGGCCTCTGCAGCAGCCTGTGAAGGGGCCTCTGCTGCAGTCTGTGAAGGGGCCTCTGAAGGGGCCTCTGCTGCAGTCTGTGAAGGGGCCTCTGCTGCAGTCTGTGAAGGGGCCTCTGAAGGGGCCTCTGAAGGGGCCTCTGCCGCAGCCTGTGAAGGGGCCTCTGCTGCAGTCTGTGAAGGGGCCTCTGAAGGGGCCTCTGCTGCAGCCTCTGCCTCAGTCTCTTCTGCCCCTGGAGTCTTGTCTGCTGTGCATTCACACCTGTCCCCACTTTGTAATCACCCAGGTGCCTCCACATTTCATTTACCCCAGCTGCTTTTATTCAATCTGTGTCACATTCACCAGTTCTGCATTGTTTGTCATTTGCCACAATCCTAGTCCAATCGTTGTGTTTTCCTTCTAAGTCATGTAAGTTTGTGCTGCCACGAAAGAGTTTTGACTTTTTGTTATTTAATTAAGCTTTATCTATTAAGTTCTCTGAGTGAGTCTGCTGCATTCTGAGTTCAATCCTCCTGTGATTGTGATAGCTGTTAGTCATTAGCTCTTCAATCCAGACATATTCAAACTCCATTTCTCCATACTGAGGTAATTAAAATAGCTCCCTAAAACAGGTAATATAGAAATTGTTAATTCACTGAATCCATCTTCATATATTTGAATTACCTCTTTCAGAACAATTACCCAATTTAAACATTTTAACCTTTGTGACAAAAACTTTATTTCTGATCCTGCAGTTTATTACAGTGTTGTACATTAAATGACAGTGGTTAGTCAGTGTGTCACGAAACACTGGTTAATTGTCTAATATTGTTTAATTGACTAAATTAACTGTGAATTTACATGCACGTAAATTTAGCAATGACAATAAAATACAGCAATATATTGTTTAACATCAACTTTAAGTGTGAAACAACCTTTAATACTGCATAGTATTTTTTATTTTAAATAACCTAAAGATAAGTAAAAAAGATTAGGATAAGACACAAAAACATTTAAAACTATTGACTTGAAGCAACAACAACAAAAATATAAAAGAATTTATCAGCAAATTATGTGTTGCTTATAAAAATAAGAATGTGTCACCCAAGATTGTTTTAAATGTAGCATTTATCCAGATTATTGAAAATTTATGGAAAAAAAATACTGAATATTATGTTTGAAAAATGATTAAACAAATCAGAGTAGGACTTGAATAAAACATTTTTTTTAAAAATTCGCTTACTTTTTATTGGAAAAGATGCAAAAACCCCTAATCCAGCACAAGTGAACGGCCCCAGTTAGAAAGACATACCAGTAGTTTAAAGAGTGAGGAGAATTTTACAGTACATGCAGAGATCGCTAAGCAGAAAAAGACAATAACACTCCACATATGAATATTTCAAATCCAAGAGTAACATTTCAAACAACCCCGGGGAGCAGCAGACATACATTAAATCAAGAACTTCAGACGCAGAGCGACTAGTGCAACCCTGCAGACGCACACTTACCGTAGTAGAAATCTCCCTGCTGATACATCATGAGGGTCTGAACTTCAGAGCCGTCATCTCTGCTGAAGGAAAAAGTTCGGGTATTCTCTGGCCTGAACTGGCTTTTCCAGGAACCTCGGAAATAGACGGCGTTCACCAGGGTGAGCCGGGTCACGCTGGTGAAGTCGTCAGCTGACAGCAGCGCACGAATCTTACCTGCACAGAGCAAGTCTGGGTCAGGAACTTACCCACTGCCGAGAAGCTTTTGTCAAAATAAAAGAGAATGACAGGTTTGTGCATCGGTTAAAAATGTGATCCAACAAGAACTGTTTGTTCTCTTTTAAAGACTATCCATAAACACATACTGAACAGATACTTTAATATTACCTATCATATGTATCTCCACCCCCCCACCCCCACCCCCCAACTCACTCTCTGTATGGTTCTCCACCCAGGTGTTGATCCGCTCCGCAACTGCTGCAGATTCGCTAAAATCCACAGTCTCCACCTCGGCTTGAAAGTACTTTTTCATCAGATGTAGGAAGTCGGGGTTGAAGCTGAAGCCTTCCTGCAGGAAGAGACTGTTGGCAAATCGAATCACGTAGTGGGCGTCGTCATCAGAAAGAGCCTCGGTCAGGTTCTGGAGCAATGAGAACTCCACTCCTGAAGAGCAGAAACACAGTCAGGCATTCACACTGCAACTGCGTACAGAGATAAAGTAAATGGTAAATGGACTGTACGTACATAGCACCTTTCTATCTTGTCAAGATACTCAAAGTGCTTTACAACACAGTTTATGCCCTCATTCACCCATTCATACAGCACTCTAATATATCTATACAAAGACTAATCAGAGCTTTATCACATTCATACACCGATGGGACACACATCAGAGGCAATGAGGAGTTCAGTGTCTTGCCCAGGGACACTTTGGCATGTGACTCTTGGTGGAATCGAACCCCCAACTCTCGCATTGGAGGACAACTTATCTAACCACTCAGCCACAGCTGCCCTATAAATAAAGATTTGAACATCGCTGGATCACTTGATGTCAGAGGTATTTGAAGATAGAATATTTATGATACTCTGTGAGATTTCCACTGTAAGTGACACTTCCACTGAGCCTTGTTTTAAAGGAAATCTGAACTTCCCAGTTAAACATATGTGAAGCAAAAAAAGTTGTTTATTAAAAGAGCACAGAGGCTGAGTCACTCAGTGGTGAGTGCTGTTGTTTTGTAGTCCTAGGGCTGCAGGTTCAAACCCACAATCAGAAAAGGGATGAGGTGTGAAACAATAGCCTAATCTTTTTTAATATTTGGGGGAGTGGTGGCACAGAGGTCAGCAAGTCGCAGGTTCAAATCCCCAGACTGACAAAATCAAATTGTGTGTGGAAAAGGTCAAGCACCCACACCTGTCTCCACCCTCATTTTCCCCACTCTGGGCCCTTGAGCAAGGCTCTTAACCCCCACCAGCTGCTCCCAAACAGGTCTCTCTTGAAAATGAGTTGTCGTGACTCAGTGATACTACCTGTATAAATAAAGGGTAAAATAAAATCTGTTGTGTGAGTTTGCTCACTGTGGCTACCATGCTGAGGGAACAACCAAAATAAAAACAATACAAATGTACAACTTTTTCAACTATGATGTAGAGGAGTAGACGTGAGGAGTAGTGGCATTGAAGGAAAACATTTAAAACCAACAAATCTAAAATTTGAACCTAAATGCTGAACTTAAATAAATGTTCATTTACACTGTTTTAAAGATTTCACTTATTAATGTCTTTATTCAGTCAGGGTCAAATGTATGGACACCATACATTAATCTTCGGCTTTCCCAAACATTTGAGGAAACTTTACTTTTAAGCAATATAAAAACTAGAAAGCATAGTGTCAAGGGAATGTGTATTTTTTGCACTCACCATGCTCCATAATTTTACTTGAATGTGTTTATTCACCGCTCTTTTACTGTTATTGTAAATGATAATAAAATGTTCCATGATCCTTTCTCTATGTAAAGATCAGTCTTCAAGTGACCGGTCAGAAAAGGGACAGCAAGAGATAATTTTATTATTCTCAAGGTACGATTTATTTATATGATACTGATATGATACAGTTTGTTTTGCAAGGGGGACAATAAAAATATAATGCTAGAAAGTTCCTGGAGAAACTTTGACTGGGACTGCCACAGTGCGGCCATTTAAAAATTTTGATTTGACAGTATTATGCAGGGTCGGCCCAAGGCATAAGCAAACTAAGCGGCTGCTTAGGGCCCCGGGGCCACTAGGGGGCCCCCTAAGTGGAATTGAATTTTTTTTTTGTAATGATTTCAATATGATTCTATTTAATATTTTAAGTTCAATTTTTGCAATTTATTGCATACATTGACATAGTTTTAAGAAACTATTCAACTTTAAATTTCTTTTTTTTTTTTAACCATTTTATGTGGTTTCAAGTAATTGTTCATTTACAATATTAAACAAACTCTGGCACAACAATTTCCTGCAGGATCGATAAAGTTCTATCTTATCTTATCTTATCAAGGATTTCCTTGATATTTTATTTATTTTATTTAAATTTGTCTGTTTTTGCACAATTTAATTTATTTTTATGCATTTAAGTTATTATATCTGTTGCTTGTTGTTGAGCTTGCACAAAAAAATACTTTTGAACATTATTGTTGCAGTTCTTTGCAACCAAAAATAATAAACCAGATGACACTTTTGCTGTAAAATACGTTGCATACTGGTATTTGTTTTTTCTTTTGTTACTTTTAGTACCACTAGATCGCATGTGTCAAACTCAAAGTCCGTGGGCCAAATCCAGCCCGCCATAACCATTTCTGTGGCTCTCTAAACCCTAGAGGGCCACAGAGACAGAACTTGAAGATAACAGTTGTGTGCTTCAATATTACTTTTATCAGTCAAATCAAATCAGTTTTTATGTTTATAATGACAAATTACTCAAACATAAAATATTAAATTTTTAGAAGTAGTCATTGAATGCAGAGAAAGTAATATTTTATCAGTTTGTTAATAGGTAGTTTTATCAATACATTCTGCCATGTCCGGCCTTTTGAGGACATTCATGAGGTTGAAGTGGCCCAAAATGAAAATGAATTAGACAGCCCTGCACTACAGGATATATACATATAGGAGAATGCAAATAGGGCTGTCAGAGTTGCAGAGTTTATGTTAGGTGCATGAATGATCTGATCATATGACTGTTGATTGCAGTAATCCACATTAATAGCAGAAATAGAGGGCCCCAAACTAAATTTCGCTTATGGCCCCATGGAGGCTTGGACCGGCTTTAGTATTATGTATTGGGGATCACTCTCAGCAACCACTATACCAAATTTCAGATTAAAACGGCAAAATATCACTGACTTAAAGTAATATTTTCTTTAAATATATGGTGGCCATCATGGATTTTTGATTTGGATTCAGTGTGCGATGGGGAAGGTTCTCAGCTATAGCATTATCAAATTTAAGCTCTATATGTGTAAAAGTTCAATTTAGCTTTTGTGGCCATCTTGACTTTTTTTTAATTCATTTGTATTTGGCACTGGTCTCAGCTACCACCACACAAAATTTTTATTCAACCTTCATTTAGACAGGTAGATCCCACTGAGCCTCGATGACTCATTTACAGTACATGAGACCTGATTTCAACAAAGAACGATAACAACAATGGACAACAGCGACAACAATAAACAGTTATAAAAAGTCGTACAGATTTTATTTTTTTAACAAATAGGATGGCTAAAAAAAAGGAAAGTAACAAAAAACAGCTAGATTCTAAGGCAAATGTAGAAAACTAAAAACAGGAACTTGTCTGCATTGGTCCATGCCAGGAGTCCAACAGATTCTTAAAGCCACTTAGAGAGGTCAAGGTCGAGAGCTTCAAATCTTTTTGTAAAATATTCCAGGAAACAGGAGCGGAGTAGGAGAAGGCCCTTTTGCTTAGTTCAGTCCTCACTGAGGGAACACTGCAGGTAATAATGTCCTGAGAGCGCACGCTGTAGCTGCACTCACGCAGAGACATATAGGAGGAGATGTATGAAGGAAGCAGACCAAGAAGTGATTTAAAGATGAAAATATACCAGTGAAAGAGTCTGCGTGAAGTTAATGATGTCCAGTTAACCAGTGACTACAGGGTGCAGTGATGGGTATGATAATCACAGCCAGTTATGAATCTTAGTGCGCCATGATAGAGAGCATCCAACATCTGCAGGGTTCTTGTAGGAGCGTTCATGTAAATAATGTCACCGTAATCAATGGAGGGAAGGAAAGTCACAGATACAACGCATTTCTTAGCATTCAGGGTTAGACAGAATCTGTTTCTGAAAAAGAAACCCAGTTTAACTTTCAGTTTCTTTACCAAGTTTTCCACATGGAGCTTAAAAGAGAGATGCGAGTCGACCAAGATACCCAAATATTTATAGGAATCAACAAACTCAATGGGGACACCATTTGATGATGAAATCAGAGGAAGAACTGCTGGGACCAACTTCCTATTTGAAAAAAGCATCCCTTTTGTTTTTGTCGGCATTTAGGACAAGTTTGAGGTGGAACAAATCTGTCTGGATGATGTCAAATGCAGATTTCAAAAGCTGGAAAGCCTTTTCAACTGTTTTAGTTCGACAATAAACAACTGTGTCATCAGCATAGAAATGTATGGATGCATCAGGGATGTTTTTACCTACATTACGTATGTAGATTGTAAAGAGGGTGGGTCCTAAGACTGAGCCTTGTGGTACACCATTGTTGACTGTTAAATAACTGGAGGAAGTACCATTATGTTGAACACATTGCCTCCGGTCTGAGAGATAGTTAGCGAACCAACTAATGGTGTGTTGTGAGAAACTGATTTCTGAGAGTTTATGACACAAGATGTTCTGATCCACAGTGTCAAAAGCTTTAGACAGTTCTAAGAAAAGTGCAGTACAATAATCCTTAGCATCCAGTGCTTCAACAACGTCATTAAGAACCTTCAGTGAAGCAGTCGTTGTGCTGTGTTGTTTCCTGAAACCAGATTGAAGGTGAGGTAAGATGTTAAACGAGTCCAGGTAATTTTTGATTTAGGAGTTTATCAGTTTTTCAGCTTAATATATCTAAAAATTGCAGATTTACAGTATTTTTCCTTTTTAGCTCAGGTGACCATCTTGGATATTTGATTTGCAACCAGCGTCTATGAAAAATTACAATTAAAAGTTGCATCTTTGTTTACAAATTATGTTACCATGGTAACTCGAAACACCAATAAAAGTAAAAGCACACATCCCGGCACTGATCCGGTTGTTTTGATATAACACTTGTGGGGGTATATGTTGCAGTTTGGGCCACATTAAAGTTGACGGAAGAGTAAACTATAAAGTTAAGAACCCCTTTGTCAGGTGGATAATAATAGGTGCTGCTTTATAATAGGAAGTCCCCAAAAAGAAACGGGGAAAGGATTGTTACTTTATTGAAAATTAATGATTTAACATAGTTCATACTAAAAGCTTAAAAATATACTGTAGATATATATTTTATGGCATTTGCTCTGTAAGAGACAAGTAGACTTTCTCACCTGGCAGCAGGTGGCTGAAACCCACCGCCTGACGTATCTCCTCCAGCGAAGCCCCTCTGGCTCCCAGCTCCACCATACCGAGGGCAACGGCCACACTCAATGGGGAAAAAAGTATGTTATCTTGACCCCCTGCTGCCTGCAGCCGTTGGTACAGCTTGACCGAGAACTCTGATGTAGTGTCCTCTGGAATGTCCGCCGCCCGGCAACCGTAGCCCGGCAACAGGAAAGAGACGAGGAGGAGGAGTGAGGGGAATAAGTCCGGCATCAACATCGCAGCATAGACCGCTGGGCGCTGAGAGAGAGAGAGGAATAAAAAAAGCTAAAATAAAAATGCTAAGGTTGGGGGCATTGACAAGAACGAAAATGGAGTGGAGATGAAGTGTATTTGGAGAACAGACAGAAGGCTGGATAGATGATGGGTGCAGTAAAGGGTTTAGAAAAAGAACAAGTATTAGGAGGCTACAGGCACTCAAAGAGAAGTGAGGCAAGCAGAGAGGTGAAAGCCAGACATGACAAGAGGAGATGATCTGTGGAGTAAGAAGGAGCCAGGAAGTAGGGAGAAGAGGATTGTGAGAAGGATGCAGAGAGGTAAAAAGCCGGCAGGATAGCAGAGCAGATTATTGCATAAGAGCAGGAACAAATGAAGGACAAGAGGATTTAGGAAAGTGACAGACGGCAATGAAAGAGAGCGCAGAGATTTGGGATGATGGAAAGAAAAGACCAGAGAGGCAGAAGAAAATCTGTCAGTCAGTCAACACAATGTTTACAGTAAACTTAAAGGTGCGTTCCCACCTGTTTATTATTAAAATGTGGTCAGCATTAAATCAAAATGTACATGAGCCGTGAAATCGAGTGGTAAGAGAAATGATGTGCTTCAGGTGGATCCAGGTACACATTAATGACAATATGATCTGAGTGCATCAAAACGAGTTAAAAAGTTCTGTTTATATGTTTAAAATTTGTACAATGTATTGTCTCAGGGTGGCACGGTGGATCAGTTGTTAGAGCTGCTGCCTCTCAAAAAGAAGTTCGCCGGATTGAATCTTGATCCGGGGTCCTTTCTGGGTGGAGTGTACATGTTCTCTCTGTGCTGTGTAGGTTTTCTCTGTGTACTCCAGTTTCCTCCCACAGACCAAAAACATGTATGTTAGACTGATTGGTAACTCTAAATTGTCTCTAGGTGTGAGTGAGAGAGTGAATGGTTGTCTCTATGTGTCCCTGTGATGGACTGGAGACCTGTCCAGGGTGTCCTCCGCCTCTCACACAGTGACGATTGGATATGGACACCAGTGACCCCTGCGACCCAAAAAGAAAGACACGCGTAGAGGTAATGGATGGATGTACTGTCTAAAATCATAAAATGCAGAGTAGTAATTTTGGGTCAATGTGATTGAGGTAATTCGAGACATTTAAAAACTATAAAATGACAATTTTGACTAATGTATGGATCAGTGGTGTAGTCTATATTTTTGTAGTGCACTGTTTTATAAATTCTATAACATGTTTTTAATACAAAGCCAATTGTTGTACAAAGTTTGTTGTACTATAAGCATCAGAGGAATTTTGAAATGTTCAATATGCTTAAAAATCAAAATAAATGAATGATTGTACTAACTGGTGTACCTTGGTTTCTAAGCACAGTGAGCAAACCATGTTCAAGTACCAAGTAGTAAGAGCAGAAGTATTAATTATACAAAAAAAAAAAACAGGTTGAACCAACTCAATGTGTCTATAAAATGTTCCAGATGTGTTGACAATGACATGAGCCCATGTCATGTATCATTGCCAGTGATACATGACATGGGCTCGTATCTTTGGACATTTTTAAGTGAGTATACTGAAATTCCCAAGCTTTTCTAGTGGTTATACTCTGTATACTTGCACATCACTTAGACTACACCACTGGTATGGATATAGACCTGGTGAGTCATGGAAACTAACATACATGTGAACATAGACCCATAGGTGTATACAGCACACATTTAGTTAAATATTGCAGCTCTACTTTGCTAACTGCCAGAATTGTGTGTTCAAATTTTCCTCCCAGTGATTTTTGACAAATTAATCATGTTGTACATGGAATATGACATCATGTGCTGTTTAAAAGCGTTGTGGAAGTAGGTTTAGTGTTGTCGTAAAGCAAGACACAGTTACTGCTGATTCATGCTGGTGTAGCCTCTGTGTGCACACACACTGTCCAGTGTTTTTATTCATTTAGATTTAATGTGTTGCAGAGGAGAACGACATCCAGGACAAAGACGGACAAATTGAGGGAGAAAGTGCAAGTGACAGCAAAAAACAGGGACAATTAGTAGGGAAGAAATGTAGGGAGGATATGATAAAGTCAAATGGAGAATCAGACCATTGCTGTATTATTTAAAGTTTATTTAATCCATCCATCCACCCATCCATTATCTTTACCCGCTTCTTACTTTTTGGATCACTGGTGCCCATATCCAGCAGTCACTGTGCAAGAGACAGGGGACACACTGGACAGGTCTCAAGTCCATCACAGGGACACATAGAGACAGACGAGACAAACAACCACTTATTTTGCTAGGGCATGGAATATTCCAAAATCTACCCAGCAAAGACAGATAAATGATCTGAAACAAAAAGGTAATTTAAAAATGGACACAAATATTAAACTGGAGATAAATACTGTATTAACTGATAGAGTGTTTGAAAATAAGTTTCTGGGTGTAATTTTGGACCACAAGTTTTGCTGAAGACTCCATATTAAACACTTGTGTAATAAGATGGCCGACACCATAGGGATATATTGGGAAAAACAAGACATACCTTGAACATTAGATCTTTGCACACTCTTTATTACACCCTGTTACTGCCATATTTAGACTATTGTGTTGAAGTTTGGGGTAATACATGCAGAAGTTCTCTACAAAAAATATGCATAATGCAGAAACGAGCAGTAAGGATGGTACACAAAGTTTGGTATCATGAACACACCAGTCAACTTGTTTTTAAATCACAGCTTATGAAATTTATGAATTTGGTACAATTTAAAACTGCACAGGTGATGTTCAAAACTAGAAATAAAGAATATTCTAAACTTATTTAAGAATAGAGCGAGAAGGTACGAACTGAGAGGAAAATGTAATTTAAAGCATCGCTGTGTTTGCAGCACTCTTAAAAGCACATCAGTGAATATGTCTTAGATGAAGAGATTAAGCAAAGTAAAAATATTGCACAATTCAAGAGAAAATACAAAGAATATAAAATTAATTTGTGTGAAAATGAATCAGATAAAAATATGTTAATCCAGCTGTTAATTTGTTAATTGGTGTGTTTGCATATTAAGCTTTGATCTGTAGGTGATATAGAGTAAATTTGTATCTGCATGTATATTTATGTTTGTATATGTAACTATACATGCATGTCTGTGTGTGTACAGTTATATATATATATATATATATATATGTATGGGTATTTATGTATTTATGCATATATTGATTTCAGAATCTGAATGTAAACTTAGGGACAGGACTGGATAAGCCTTTACTTTAACCCTTTCTTTTTTTTTTTTTAATAGATGGCCTCCCTTCTCCCCTTACAGCCATCCTCTCCATACCATTATTATGAAATATTTATTCTAGTGACTATCTAGTGTATGGTTTTTTTTTTTGTTTTTTTTTAATAGTATAGAAAGAAAGAAAAGACAAAGTAAGACTCCAAAATATAAGAAATATACACAAAGAGAGCACACGGCAAAACACCCAGCCACTGTCTGTTCACCTGCAAAGAACATGACAAAACACAGCAACAAAATACATATGTATAAAGAACTTAAAATATTCATGGCTTTGCAGTAAGTTTCCATAAATATATATACCCATACCTACGCCTATATACATACATACATACACATGAATATACATTCACATACATATCTATATATCTACATATAAAGCCTACATAATCATCCCTGCTTCTATTTGTGTGTGGTTGTGAGCATGCATAAGTGTATAAGGCTTCTCTAATAGAACATTTAATAGTAACTGTGAAGCAGCAGAGACCCGACCCCCAAGACCAGAGGTAGACGAAAAAGGGGGGACCAGAGCCCAAGACCCCAGGAGGGACCCCGACCGCGGAGCCCCCAGGGCCACCCACACAGGACGAACCACTCACCCACCCCCCAGAACGGACCACAGGGGAGAACCGGAAGATCCCCACCAGCGACCACATATAGTGACCCCCCGGGGCCAACAGCGACAAACTCATAGGCCTCCGTCGGAACCCGCCGCACCGATGTAGGTCCAGGTCCGGGCACCGAGGCCCGAGCACCGAGGACTCACACCACCCAGGCCAAGGCCCGACAGGGCCAGAGGACCCGAGCCCCACCAGGCAGACACCAGGCCGAGCCGACACACGCCCAAGCGCCCAGCCCCCGACACCAAGGGCCCCAAGCGCGCCGGCAGGCAAGGGCACACCCCACCAGGGGGCCGCGCGATAGGGGCGCGATGCCAAGCACCCCCAGTTGTATCAAAGAGGGGGCAGTCCGAGTCTCGACCTAACAAATACCCATTCATACACAGACACAATCACACAATCCCAACCTCAATCTCACATTCACTCACTCAAAGACATACAATAACGATACATTTCATTCTTATTCCCGATACGCACTCTATACCCCCCAGGTCCAAGACATGTACCCGCCCTCTACAGGGGGCAGCCCATGCCCAAACCCAGGAGGTAAACCCATTCATTCTCGAGCGGAGAAGAGCCAATACCCCAGACCCGGCCCAGGCCATGCCCCGCCGACAGGATACCCCCCCACCATGAAGAGGACACGCCACCGACCACCCCCACACACCGCCAACAACCAAGCACGCGCCCCCAGCCGACCGCCCGCCAGGCCCCGGCAGCCACCCCGGCCAGCGGGCCAACCATGGCACCCAAGAGCCAAGCTCAGGGGGTCCAAACAACCCCAGGGAGAGCACAGCGCCAGCACCGCCCATGGCAACCCCCTAGACCCTGAACCCCCACATAGTCCTGGTCAACACCCGACGGCCTTCCCTTCTCCCGGACCCCACCCCCGGAATGGCAGTCAGGGAACTAGGTGGGTAGGAAGAAAGAAAAAAAAAAATATAATAATAATAATAATAAGACCCCGACACATACACCCCCGCCCCTAGATGTGCTGTTGATGTGTGTTGTTGTATAGTGCCATTAAAAAGGCCCTTTCAAACATTTTTGTTTTGTTTCCAGAATATTTTGATGGAAATATTTACCTTTTTTTAATGTTTTTTTGTTTGTTTGTTTTGTTGA